AGTGTATAGGGCCCATGGTCGGGCCACGGCTGAGATGTCTCGGCCACACCCCGGATTGGCCACAGCCAAGATGTCTCGGCCACACTCCAGATTGGCCACGGCCGAGATGTATCGGCCAAACCCCGGCCGTGGCCCGACCTTTTTTTTTTTTCATGTTTTTTTTTTCAGCCGCGGCGCAGCACCGCGCGACCGACAACAACAAAAAGAAAAAAAGAAAAAAAACGTTTTTTGTCCTTGCAGCCGCGGCACGGCACGACCGAAGAGGGAGGAAGGGAAAAAAAAAAAAACAAAAAAAAAAACGGCCTTTTCGAACTCCGCCCTGACACCACTGCCGGCCTTGAGTTAGGAACGGCTTTTCGAACTCAGGCCCTGACACAGACGCCTAAGGCTGTTTTTTGTGCCCATTACAAACTCCCATGTGACATAAACATACTTCCCCATCAATCAATCAATCAACTTACCCCAATCAATCAGTCAATCAATAGACCAAATTCCAATCAATCAATCACTCAAGTGACTCAATCATTCAATCAATCAAGATTTTTTTCTGGGGGGGGCAACGGCTCCTGGGTCACACCTAGCCTTTGGAATAAGCAACTTCAGCAGTTCTCGAAACAGAACAAAAAAAGGCCTCTGCTAAATCTGCATTCATGCCACTTCAAAAAAAGGTGCACAGTTTCAACCTCTCGCTAAACATGCACATTATGAAACTCAACGCTACTTTGTGTTTTCTTGCCTATTTAAGACTAACCCCCCTCCGCAGAATTTTTTTTTTTTTTTTTTTTGTGTGTGTGTTGGGGGGCGGGATTGGGGTTGCCTAACCCCAACCAGCCACCCCCACTAACCCCCAACCAGCCACCCCCACTTACGCCCCCCCCGCGACTGACCGCAAAGGCGGGCGCGCGGTCACTTCCTGGGGGGATTCATAGCTTCTGGCTTCATTGATGGCCTAACGACCCTGCGTTCCTTTTTTGGGGACGAAGAAACTATGTAGGGGCCATTGATGCGGGATGAAAAGAAGTGAATTTCACAAGGCTATCCCCGCATGCTGACATGTGGCGTGAAGGCGTTGCACCACGATGCTCCTGGCGCGCCGATGCCTGCCTTGCTCGTTGACGCAATCTCCCGCCAGAGACAAGGCCTCCATCACCATGGTTTTGGAGAGAGCCTCACACGCCACCTGAGCGCGGCAGGAAGGATCGAGAATCGCAAACGCCATGTCGGCGATCCCCTCGGGATCCCCATCTCCATCATCCCCTCCTCCGGAAAGGAACCGGCCGACACACGTGGCCAGCATCTCCCATCCCAATCTGGAAGCCGCCGGCCAGGCAGCCTTTCGCCCAGTCAGCAGCTCGAGGAGAAGCATGCCAAAGGAGTACACATCGTTCTTCTCCGACAGCTTGCCGTACAGCCTGTACTCGGGCGACATGTACCCGAACCTCCCCACCACGGGCGAAGTCTGGACGAAGTGCTCGTACCCTGTGCCAAACACTCTCTCCCCGATGGCCGCCAAGCCGGAGTCGGCCAGGATCGCTTCGAGCATGTCCCCTTCTCCCTCCCCGAGCAGAACGTTGCTGCTCTTGATATCTCGGTGAATGATCGCCGGCCTTGCACCGTCGTGCAGCTAGCTTAGTCCTTTGGCAATCTGGAAAGCGATGCGCTCCTCTATCGTCAAAGGTGAAAAATCATGTTTGTTCCCGTGGTTGTGCCCAACGGCTACTTGTCCTTGTACGTCTTCTCCCTGCTCTTGCTCTTTTTGTTCGTCTGTCTCTCTCGTGTCGGCGTGCAATCGATGCTGCAAACTTCCCCCGGCGTAGTAAGGGTAGACCAAGATGGATTTCTCTCCCTCCTGACCAAACCCAAGGAGTTCGACGAGGTTGGCATGGTTCAACCTGCTTAGAGTGTTCACCTCTGCAACGAACTGTGCCTTCTTGACGTCCGTCAACTCGCCCGTCATCACCTTGATGGCCAGCTCCCTGCCGTCCATGGAACCCCTGTAGACTACGCCGAACGCCCCCTTGTCGCCAATGAGCTTGGAGGGATGGAAGTCGTCCGTGCGGTCTGCCAAGCTCTTCAGCTCGAAGCGCTGCACGACGTGCACGTTGGACGGAGAGAGCTCCATTCTCTTGCGCCTCGATCGATCGTCGGGAGTGGTCGACGACGACCCGTCCACCGTGCTCCGGCTCCCGACGGATGAAGAAGATCCCGGCGCGGCAGTTACCAACGATCTGGACCTCGAGGGGGAGTGTAAGGGGAATCGGCGTAGGTTAGGCCAGCCTGCGGCTCACCCTGTAGGGCTCGCGACTTCTGTCCGCTAGCCTGCTTCTTGTAGCAGAAAGCGCCTAGAAGAGCAAGGACGGTCGTTAAGGCACCTCCTCCGAAGGACAGAGCGATGATGAGCACTAGGTTCGATGTAGGCTTGGGAGATGGAGTTGTGGCGGGGAGTGAGGACGTTGATTTGAGCAGGTTCGGTTGGGATTCGGCAGGTGAAGGAGTGGGGAGGGGGAGTGAGGAGGACGATGATGGCGGCGAGCTGCTGCCGCTGCCGAGGGGAGATTGGTCAGAGCCGCAACCCCCTAGAAGCTCGTCGTTGATTACCAGCTGAAGCACGTCGCCATTTGACGAGCCAACAAAGAGGATTACCCGACCCTCAGCTATGTGTAGGGCCAAGCTGGACGACCCTATGCCGTTGTGTTTGGCCACCACCTCCACGCGTGTTGCCAGGCTACAGGGCCGATCTAGCTTCAGCCATCGAACCAGTCCATTCCCGTCTATCTCGTCCGTGACGAAGAGATTGCACCCATCGGGTGTGGTTACCAGCGCCTGCATGCGGTAGAAGGTGGTGTTGGCGTCATCGACATTCTGCACGCCGCGCTCCCCCGAGAGTGCCGATCCTGCCACCAGCGTGACGTTGAAGGTGGAGGAGGAGTGGTGGGGATCGAAACCCCACACGCGGTTTTGCTGGTCGTCGCGGAAGTACATGCAGCTCCCGCCCGAGACGAAGCTGTAGGGACCGAAGTAAATCGACGAGACCCTGGTATCCCCAAACGTGCTGAGCACCTGGGACAGGTCGCCCCCGGCTGTGGGAAGACCTGAGTCGGACACAGGCACCGAGAGGATCTTCGGGGAAGTCGCGGAGTTGTCGGATATGTACAGGGTGTTGTTGGCGGGATCGAGCGCCAAGCTCTCCAGCGAGCTCACACCCGAATCGATTGACGAGCGCGACCCATCTATCACAGAGACAGAGGTGATGATGCGCGTGCCGCCGACATCGTAGGGCTCAGAACTGACGACCAGGTTGCTCTGCGATCTCGACACGTCCAGGCCGTAGAAGACGCGCGTGTCAGCCACCGAAGAGCTCATGTTCACCCCCATCTTCACGAATATGCGATCAGAGACCTTTGTCCCATTCGGCGAGGAAGCCGGCCACCAGTAGGTTACGAGCGTGTTGTTGTCATTAGCATTCAAGAGCGACGGTGGTCGATCAGCCAGCGAGAAACTTGCTTTCCTGATGGATATCGTCTTGTCTGTGACGGATCCGTCCGGGGCTAGGCACATTTCGTCCAGGACATAATAGATCATGGCTTTGTCCACTTCCTTGTCCACTTGGGAGGGTTCTGGCACCACGAGATGGAATACAGCAGATCCGCACCAATAAGAGTCACCACCAGCACGCATAATGGGGTGCTTCACAAGCGGCCCGCTCCTCTCCTTGACAAACAACGGGTGCAGGGAGATCAGTTCCCGCCGGCCTGCAGAGGCTTCGAGGAGGCGATCAGGGCTACCGACCGGTCGTGCTTCTGCCGACGACACGACCGAGTCTCCTGGCATGCACTTCGCAGCCGCTCCTTCTGCGCACGAGGAGCAAGCTAGAAGGTCCCACGTGGCAACAATCCCGATCAGCAGCGGCAGTGATTGGCTCGGGATACCAAACCAGCCGCAGGCATACCAAGGTAACCAAGCCATAGCGATCCTTCCGTTTCGCTGATCAGTCTTTTCCCCCTAATTTCTAACAGAACCCGCAGCCTAGGCCTCCCTCTGATTCGTTCGTTTTTTTTTTCCTTTCTTTCCCCTCAATATTTTCAGTTTGCAGGCTTAACCTTGTGCCATAGAATCGCTAATCACCAGCAGGGTACGCGTTGACAAGCCTACCACCTCTGCGGGGGCAATTCTACTAGGACTTTCCTGGACGCATCTGACCACAATTTAGGCCTGTGCTCGCTGTATCACACCAAAATTACGTCCACAACTTGTTCTGAAAAGTCCTACTGTGAGTGCATCCCCTCAGCCTAATCGCCACACTAGCTGCGAGCGTGTCAATGCTAAATTGGATATAGCCCGCCGTCTCCAATGGTGCGCACTGCCATTTCCAATCTTCAGCCCCGCCACTAGATGAAAGTCTGCACAATCCGCGTTGAATATCGCCCAACTTAAAAAGGAAACTAACAATTTGTCGAAATCTGAATAATGCCTGTTTAATCTTGGACAGCATGAACATGGAAAAGCACGGAATCTCTCTCTCTCTCTCTCTCTCTCTCTCTCTCTCTCTCTCTCTCTCTCTCTCTCTCTCTCTCTCTCTCTCTCTCTCTC